CCTATCCCTACTCAAATATTAGGTCGTTCCGAAAGTAATGTCGCTTTTTTTCGAATGAACGCCACTATTCGTGGAATCAACATTTTGAAGAGATCTTAGGAGCATTCGATGCAGCATTTCTTCTTTCTAAGGGTTTTTATTCCACTGCATAATGTTTAATGAGCTCTCGAAAAATTACCAAAATCTGAGACTCATGCTTTTTGCCATGGTCAAGTTCGGCTATTTTTCTAAACTTTTGTACGTAATCTCCGAAAAAGTGCAAGTGGCAGGTAGATAGAGCAAATACTGTAGAACACAGAGTAATTTTTTATCTTTCTTAGCTTGCTTCTCAGAGTTTCTACAATCCATTTCTCAATGCCATCAAATTCCATATTTAGTCAAGTCAAACCTCACAGAACAACAAACGGCAAGCGACTCAGGTGTCATTCGATGCAGCTTTTTCTCCTCTTTCTAGCGGTTGTTTTTTGTTTCCGATTCATCAAGTTTTTGGGATAAAATCTTATAACTCAACTTCCCCAAGTTGTACCTGAAATTTTCGAAAGTTGCTAACGAAGCGGTGAATGCTCGTTTGGTTTGTAAAATTGCTGCCAAACCATAACCATCTTTGTAAGTTTTAAAATCCGAAGACTTGTTGGCGTTTGATGCACTTATGTCTGAGACGAGCCTGCTAAAATTTGGTGGTTCCATCAAAAAATCTGTACAAAAATTATGATGAGCTCTGGAAAGTAGAAAAAAGCTGTGCTGCTTCCTGTAGGGTTTGCTCCATCCATTCATTACTTGGACTCCTTCTGAGGTTTGTTGTATAATTTTAGAAAAATTATGAAACTTGGCCATCTCAAAAAGCATAGGTCGCAGATTTTGACTCTTATCTGGAAGCTCATTGACTTACTTGCAACAACTTCATAACCATTAGAAAGAGAATGAAATGCTGCATTAAATGCTACCAGAATCTCTTACACATCTTTGTTCCACGAGATGTGGCGTACGTTTGAAAAAAGCGACATTACTTTCGGAACGACCTAATATTATTGCTTATGCACAAATTTAACTCATTATCATGCTACACACAAATCCTTGATGAATTTCTTTAACAAAACATTTTTACGTGATTTAATGCCACAACCCTCATCAAATTCTATGGAGTTCTCACCTGCACGCTACAAGGTATGTAATTTGATTTCAATTCAATTTTCCATTCTTTGATAAAAATTATATTATCCGACTGAAGGCAAAGTTAAATCACGTCCTAAAAAATTTTCAGCACACCTTCTGCCAATCTTGAATCAAAAGCAGTGGCTCGGCAAATTCTCAACCTGGAAATTTTTTGCTCATTTAAGGTTATCTAATGCGCTGATTAAAAAATCACTTTTTAGAGTGCGAAATTGAAGAAAAATAAATTTCCCGAAACTCTCATTTTTTGATTCGTATGAGACGCAAAGCGTTGCTGGTAAGAATATGGTTCTAACATCCGGTGGTGGAAGTTTAATTGCAAGCTTGTCTAGCGCATGTAAGAATGGCTTACACGCACGAAATTGAGGACGATTTTTTCTAAGGGTGTTGAGCGACCGGACTTGATCTGTTTTTATGTTTGGGAGGTAACCAATCCACCTTGTCAAAATTTTGTATGTTCAGATTTGCTGAGCTATTGCCTTTGAAGAAAATTTGTGGCGCTCAGAAAGTTTGTAGAAAATGCTGTTTGATTGGAGGCGTCTGAATGTCTCGCAGGCGACGGAGCTTACTTACTCAAATGAGTGCCGCCACGCAGTTGAAAAGGTCATGCATAAGTTATCAGCAAAGCAATTAGCACCTAGTCAGCATCAAAGTCGAGGAAGAGGTGTGACACACAAGCGCCGGATACGATCCACCCCCTTATCTTCTGTCTCAATACCTCCCCCCCCCCCCCTCCGCAGTATCGTTTGCCTTCCGTAGGCATGGAAATAAAGGCTCTACCATGCATAATTACTCACAAATTGGTAGTTATCATGTTAAGTAACCTCTGGGCCAAGTCCAAGCAGATTCTGAGAGTTCTCAATGTTGGACCACCCAAGTAATGTGATTATTTTCAGACATGATTAACTATATTTCTATGAGAATTTAGCTAACTCTTTTTGTACTCAACACAAAGCTTTACTTCCTACTTACCCAACTATGTATCCTGCTTCAAACAACCATCGAATTATGGAATTAGAAGCAAGCCAAAATCTCGTTGGGCCAATTCGCTTTAATGGCTGTGCTTTCACCAGATTTTAATCAGAGCGAAGAAAATTAATCAGACTCAAATTACTCCCATAAAACTACAAGACTCAGACTGTCAGATCATACATATAATGTCTGCTAGAATTTTTTCTGGAGGTAAGTTAATGAGTTGTAACATAACTCCAGAAAAGCTGTGACTGCCACACCTTTTTATTGGTGCTACACCCCACTAGCTTACCTTCAAACTGAGTCTTTGATTTGTTTATATGGTTGCTACTGCTAGACCTTCTTCTCCACATAGCAGAAAATTCATTCAAAAGGGTTTTTCCTAGGGAAAGTATTGGGTTACGAGAAAATGCTGAGCACTACGACGTGTGATTCGCGAGGCAGGGGGGAAAGAACAAGTATATTCGAAAGCATAGTCCTCGTAGGTTTCACAAAAGTGATTTGAGCCTTTTCTCTACTCTGAGATATTGAGAGCGAAAAATGGGGCAAACGAGAATTCGGCTTGCTCTTCATTGCAGAGTTTAAAGGTTAGTTGAAATGAGATTTTTAATGTTGAGAGCAAAGAAGTAGTAGTACCTTGCAGTAAGTGCAAAAAGAAATAGTGGTACTTTTCCATTATCCGTACCCATTTTTTCAAAGAAGGATATAACTTCTTCTATCGTACCATATTTGATCACAACTTCATAGGATGGAGTGTCAAGCTTCCGTCACGTGTCAAAAAAATTTGACATTTCATCTACATGTTCGAAACGTTTAACTAAGAGTTTGTGTTGCCTTAGCTAGCGACGTGATTCTTATTCATTTTTAGTCAATAGTAGTCGCATTTCTGATTGAAAACAGTATCAAAATGAACATTATTATCACAATAACATCATTCTGTCATTCATAAACAGATTAGACTTGCCCAAATTAGAGAAGATAGGGACTCATCATCAAGTGGACAAAACAAGTAGTTGCGAGGAACTCTAGGCCATCATTTATAGTCTCGTCTGACTAGATTCGCAAGATGAAAAGTTTGAAGAGAAGGACAATGCTGAATCATTGCTAAAAACCATTAAGATGCCCTGTATAAGTTCTAGGTTTTTTTTTCGCTTATAGAAAACAATTAAACAGCTTTGAGATAATCACAGATGCTCTCTTACCTCACCGGCAATGACTTCGAAAAAAAAAAACGTGTCAAAATAGACCATTCTTGTCAATATTCTCATGACACGTGGCAGAGAGGCTGTCCTCGTGACTCTATAAAAAATTGTTCCTAGACTAAAAACGTGTTTTATGAGAGCCTTTTGAAAAGATGGGTCCGGATAACGGAAAAGTACCGAAACAGTTTGCTCATCTTTGAAACAAAGCTAGCATGTTCGAAAATGACCACCTCACTTGAGTGTTCTAATATCTGGAAACCTCAGAATTCGCTAAAAATTGGCCCGCAGGGGTTATTAGACATGCTAACTACAAAATGATGTTCCTATGCTTTTAGGTTTTATTTATTTTTTACTGTGCATGTAAGAGGTCAGACAAAACACCAGTATTATTATGCTGTACAATAGCCTACGAAACATTGTTGACTGACATTATGTCGTTAACATCACTATCACCTTAATAACGACCCCCCCTCTTCCCCCTTTCCTTAATTCCTTACGACCCACCAGACGTGGCGTGCCACACCCCACGCTGATCCTGATCAGCATTGTAGAAAATCTTTTGCACTCCATAGGGGCCATCCTCATCCACCGACGCATACAACTGATCTTACACCAATCTCGAACTCGAAATGCAATAGCGACATGTGTTCAAATGAGATAAGATCGGTCTTCAACAATTATAAACTTTACTGCGGATTAGGTAATGATCAAAAAAGGCTGTGTCCCGTTTTTTCTCGTACAAAATGAAAAACTTGTATATTCAGTGTTTTTTTGGCGAACAACTGCAAGCATGGTTGGTTTATTGAAGCATAAGGCGTAAGGATTTCTAGACTTTTACTTTCTAGACTTTCTTATCCCAACTGTGAAAGTCGATTTTAGAATTTAAAACTTTTCAAAAAAATTTTTATGTTATGTTCATGAAGTGTAGACAGCATGAATGAGCAACTTCTACATTAGTGCTTAAAGGCAGTGTCTCACCAAAATTTAGTTGCCGAGATTTTTTGCATTTTGCAAGCCTGTCGGACCCTGTCTAGCACTGTATGGGCTTGAAATCGTACGAAGTGTCCGAAATCCGCGTTTTCTGGAAAGCCCCGCGGAAGCAACGTGGACCTTCCAACTTCAGCCTCAGCCACAGTGGCAGCAACAGAGGGGAGGTAGATGCCAAGTGGAGGGACATGTTCTAACGCGTAAGGGGGGAGACCGAAGGAGTCGTCCGCGCGTACCAAGTTGCTCTCCGCGTACCACTTTGAGCGAATTTTTCTCAGCGTGGAGGGGGTCAAATTGAGTGGGACTTGTTGCAGTGGCCTATTCAGAGGTCCCGACAAAAGAATATGTAAAGATCCGCGCGACCTCATTTTTGGTGAGACGCTGCCTTTAATACACCGCGTTTCAGCGAGATAGAGGGTTGGAATGCGATTTGCGTACATCGGAAAAGCCGCTGCCGCCTATTTGTGTAGGGGCTGTAGGGAGAACATTTATGGACAAACAGCTCTGCAAACGTCTATGACTGTGCGCATTTGTTGCGGTAGCAGAGTGGCAACACTCTTTTTTTGCCTACATCATTATTATGAAGACTTCTGATTGACTGCACAAATCCTGTCGATTACAGAAAACGGGAGCAACGCGATGTTTGCAAATATGTCAACACAGCTGAACATATTGGCGTCATTGTTGGTGTTGCGCATCGTGTTATATTCAGTCCAGCGGTTGATGATGTAGTGACTGATGATATAGTGACTGATGATGCAGTGGCTGATGATGTAGTGGATGACTTGAGGATCATGCTAGTTTCCGCGGTGCTAGTTGTAGCCTTTGCTATCTCGTAGAATATATCACCATTTTTAAGCCGTCTGAAAATAGAAAGAAATTTTTTTGGTACAGTGACAGTTCTGCGCAAGTGCTTTATAAAATTATCCGGTTGGTTTTTTCGATGCGTAATGCATAGATGTTCCCAGTTTGTGTGAACACAAATTTCAACTCTTCAAGTATTATACAGTTGCAGCGGTAGAATTTGTCCAAAATTGTGGGATTGTCGAGATTCGCGGGATTTGCGACTTCATGGGGTTTGCGGAATTCGCGGGATTTGCGAAACAAGCGGTGTTTAGCTACTTCTTCTAAAACAACTTTATATGAAATCTGCAAGAAGAATCGGCTTCAGCTTCATGAGACGAAACCTTTGGTTTACGGCATGTCCGTAATTCATGGTGACACGGTAGTCATATGATGATAACTTGTTATTTTATGGTAAAGCTTTTGTGAACATTTATCACAGCGTAAATCGCGAATAGCAGGTTTTGGTACGAAGTCCTCATTACCGAGAACTATCGCGAAAAATTAGGCAGTTTTTATTTACCCTTAACACTGAAATAAGCATTTGATCATTTACCACTGATAATATCACATTTTGGGATCATTTTTGGCTTATGGTAAGAAAAGTACTGTAAGAAACACTGAGTGAATTTCTATCGCTCTTTCTCTCATTATAAGTGGTCTACAGGTTTTTCTACTTCTATTGCTCGGTGCAATTGGTAGGTCCCTCGCTGCAGCAATCGATCGGTTTCTCATTGGCACATGCCATTGCTGCTAATTCTTACCTTAAATGGTTTTTTTGTCTCAACTCGCTTCACACCGAAGCCTGTGCTGAGATGCTGCACCTACGTGAAAGATGAACGTGGAAATCGACAGCATGAATTCAAAGCCATTCTTATCTGTTGTTGTCATTGATACCATCATTTTATCATTTATCCCTGATGATATCACAAATCATATTATTTTTCACATACAGTAAAAAGTGCTTTAGAAAACGCTGTTCGAGTTTTCATCGCTCTATCTCTTAGTGAGAACAATTTAGAACGACATGGTTTATCCAGAATTCACCATCTATTTTCTTTGATGAGTAGTGTACGGCTAATTCTTGGCGCCCCATAATCTACAGAGAAAATACTATCGTAAGGTTCTTGCTGGAATCTACTAGGGGCAATACGCGCTGCTTCACACCTTTACGAAGAGACGTCCGCAGAAAGTTTCAAGAATACTGAAATTGGAATATCAAGTACATGCTTTATAGAGAAAGATTCGCCTTGATGAGCTGAGCACAATGTTTTTCGGAATCAGAAAATATTCACTCCAAAGGAAGTTACGGCGAGTAGAATTTGAAAACTCGTGATTTTTGCAGAATTTAACAACGCTTCTATCTTTTTTGGCAAGAAAGCGGTTACTTTCTAGCGCACTATAATCTACAGGAGAAGCGCTATCGAATACTTACTGTTGTCTTTTATGTGTGATGTGCGCTGCGTTGCATCCTTGCAAAAAGCGTCCGCAGACAAATTGGAGAAAACTTAAAACGATATATTGAGAACATGCTGTAAACTAAAAGATTTGAATTGATAAGCTAAACACAACGCTTCTTTCGGATTTAGAACACATTCATTCCTAAAGAAGTTATGACGCTGCGTAGTTTGCGTGATTCGCGTGATTCCGCGGAAACTGGAATGTCGCAAAACTCCTAGAACGGTGCGGACTTTCGCAAAACCCCCGGAAGTTCACGACATACAAAGAAAATCTGCACGTTTTGGGCTATTGTAGATAGCAAGAAGTAGAGTAGAGCATAGGAGAATTTTAAAAAAACCTGGATACAGAGGCAACCGCCCATGTACGCGCATCGTTCGCGCGCGTGTGGACTCTGATGGAATGATGCTCGAGCACGCCGTTTGCGCCGTTTCGCACCTTAGACCGATCGCCTTCGTGGATCTGGATCTTGCCCATACGCAGAAAACAGAAGTGTTCAGCTCATAGTTGAAACTCCTGTTGACAGGCGACTCGCATTCCCAGTTTATAGAGCGATGAAATTTTCTGAAAGAGCAACGTCTCTAAGGAGACGGTGTCATGCGCATAATGAGCAATCAATCGATTGCTGCAGTGAGGGATCGGATCTATCTATAACACCACAAGCGCAACTGTACCGAAAAAGCCTGTAGATCACATACTACAAGAGATAGAGCGATGAAAACTCGCACAGCGTTTCCTAAAGTACTTTTTACTGTATGTGAAAAATAATATAATTTGTGGTATCATCAGGGATAAATGATAAAATGATGGTATCAATGACAACGACAGATAAGAATGGCTTTAAATTCATGTTGTCGATTCCCACGTTCATTCAATTTAGCGATAGAATTTCACTCAGCGTTTCCTACAGTACTTTTCTTACCATATGCCAAAAATGATCCAAAACTGTGATATTATCAGTGATAAATGATCAAATGCTTGTATAAGCTTTAAGGGTAAATAAAAACTGCCCACTTCACGATAGTTTTCGATAATGAGAACTTCGTACCAGAATCTGCTAGTCGCGATTTACGCTGTGATAAATGTTCACAAAAGCCTTACCATAGAAAATAGCAAGGTATCACCATATGACTACCGTGTCACCATGAATTACGTTACCATGCCGTACACCAAAAGATTCATCTCATCAAGCTGAAGCCGATTCTTCTTGCAGATTTCATATAAGGTTGTTTTAGAAGAAGTTACAGCTGAATACCGCTTGTCTCGCAAATCCCGCGAATCCCGCAAATCCCGTAAAGTCGCGAATCCCGCGAATCTCGACAATCCCGCGAGTCCCGACAATCCCGCGAATCCCGACAATCCCGCGAATCCCGACAATCCCGCAATTTTGGACAAATTCTACCGCTGCAACTGTATTACATTTCTCTGCGTTTTTATCCGTCAACATTAAACGTGCTTATGTCCACTTTTGTGAGAACGGCGGATGGTCAAAACGAAAAACAAAGCTTCTATTTCCAACTATCAGGTTGTGACATGATGCACCAAAATAGGTGAAAACCGCGATAAGTTATTCTCCCACATTACAGATAGGCTCCACAGAACCACTTTACAAATAAAAAGCTATGAACGTTGTGCAAATGTTCGAACACGTGCTGGAAAACTTACTTTGCTCTGTTGAGCGTACTTCAGAAATTTATTACTTTGGAAGAATAACCTATTGCGATCTTAACCCATTTTTCTCACCATAATTAGTCAAAACCGCAATGTTTCTCTCCCACATATCTATTATATCCAGGACCGGTAGTAATCCCCCGACCTGGCAGGTAGTCTCGCCGGCAGTTCGCCGGCACCTCACCATGAGGTCGCCAAAAGCTAAGGTCCCAAATCTAGGCCGTCTCAAACCTTTTTTTAAGAGATATCCTGGACGAAGGTGCCACCGCGACTTTAGAAAAGCGCCCGAAATTTGGAGTTTCAGGAGATTTCCTGTGAAAAAATTAAGTTTGGGAGGAGCTGCCTGCAATCTCGCGAGCTCAGTTGCCGGCAACCTGCGAGCAGCTCGTTCAAATTTGCGGGTGGCAGTTGTTGGTAGGTCAGAAAGTACGAGAAATAGCGTGCTCTTTTGAGAGAGAAAGTTGCCGGCATTTCGACATACTCCTACCACGTCTGGTGCTGGCACCTCGCCGACGGCGTCTGTGAGTTTGGGAGTTGCGGCAACACCACACAATTTACTCTCAGTAACGAATCCAAAATTCTATTTTTTCTAAATTATCTTATTTGTCATTAGCTGGTTTTTTTCCTCTTCAAATTGATAATCTGTGCGAAATAGAGACTCAGTAATATAGCTAAGCATCAGTGAGCATCACCTTCTCTATTGCAGTTCCTTCATCTTTCGTTTTCGCGTGTCCGTGCCGATTAGCTGTTCGAGTGAACAAAGTCTGCATCGCACAGTATTGATCATGCCCCTTTACGGACGCCACTGGCCTGTGCCATCCTGTGACTGTTCTTCGAGAAACATAGGTGCCCGCGTAGTTGATTGGAAGCGCCCCGCTCTCAAAGTCGCTGCAGGAAGTTCGAGATGCGTAGTGAGAAAATTTTGCGGCGGAGTGCGTCGTAAAACTTCTTGTAAATTTAGGGATTAGACTTAGCTGATATAAGACTATCAAGATCTATGGCCCTCCGCGAGCTGCTGAAGAAGTTGGCGACTTCCCGTGATGTGTGCCAAAACTCGTCAGTATTTATGATGCCTTCAGGTAGATAGATTAGTACCGGTCAAGGGAACCATTCTATATAAATCTCTAGGAAATCAAACTACAATGCTATATGCCTCCGGCATCGTGTTTGAACTCTTGCACCAACTTTGATCTACACGAAGAATGCAGCCAAGAACTAAAAAGATCTTTGTGTTCTGAAAATGATGAAAAATTGGAAATGATGTGCAGTATAAGTATCTTCTTTTTGAGTAGAAGAAAAGTGGGTTTTTGGTTTGCCAAAGGATTGGGAGCTTTCCGCGCCAGTAATCACGCTAGCCTTCATAACGCAAATTTTTAGCCTTTCGCAAGAAATAGTGAAGCAAATAGCGAAAATGAGATTCAAACGCACACGAACTACGAGCTGAGCAGCCACTTTCTTGTGTTCCCTTTCCAAGCACGTTTTATAAGAACCTCAACCAGTACCTGAGGCAGACGTCAAATTCAGAATTTTATCCTAAACGTTTTTACTGCTTACACACAGCCAAAACTATGCCGCCGCGCTAACTTGACTTATTCGGAAATGTTTGAATATAAAGAAGTTCCCCCCTCCCCTCCCCCCCACAATAGTCGGCCGCCTCAACCTAGCCTGGGGGTGACACTGGGTGTCGAACCGCGATGCACAGCCGAGTGTATACTCCGGCAGGGCCTCCCAAGCTTTTAGGAGTTCGACGTTTCCGGTTTTGGCCGGATGCTTAGCTAAGAGCCGGCAGGGTCAGATCCCCCGCCGTGACTTTCTCTGGTCGCTAGGCGGTCCCTTCCCGCTCCACATCCGGATCAGCGATTGCCCCGTGGAAATCAAGAGTTGGCATAGT